GAGTTCGGTTCCCGGTACCGGAGAAAAACCAAAAAAAAAAAAAAAAAGAAGCTTGCTTGGTTTCCTCCATATGCAAATGAAGGATCAGGAATTGTGCCTTTTGATTGGTTGTGCCCACCTGCAGATGAAGACTTGAAAAGAGCATCTTCTGATTGGTTCTGTGACCAAGGCTTGAAAATAGAATTTTGCTGATTGATCCTGTGTATATTGGCAATGATGTTACAGCATTGGGAGTGCCTCTCCTCCAGGGAGTGTTGCTGTGCCTTGTGGGGGGATATGTTTTTGGGGTACCACAGTTCCACTCCCTGAACCCTCTTTAAGGAGGTCCACAGCAGTTGCTACCCACCTGCTCAGGCGCCTGGCTGGTGAAAGAGTGGAACTCTTGACTTTGGTCTTGGGGACACAGATGTGAGACAGAGGACAGCAGAGGGCCAGGGGCCCCAAAGGATCTAGGATTCCTAGCTCACTGCTCTGGGAGTCTGTGGACAAAGGCGGACGCAGCTGATTGTCACTGCTCCCACGGAGCTGTCTTATAAGGTTGTCTGGAACCCCGAGCCTTTCTCCTAAGGGAAACAGAGTTAGGTCCCTGCCAGCGCCGGTCACAATTTGGTCACCTGATCCATCTGTGGCTTTATGTTGTTTTTGCTTAAAGACACCTTGGTCAGTACTTACTGTTGATTCAACCTTGAACTCACAGCTGACGGCACACACTCGTGCTTGAACGAGGCTTGCATGACACTCACATTTCTCCTGGGAGACCCATGGCTGCCCTGTGCTCTTTGGACCCCGGCAGCGCATCAGCACCGCACTTGGCTGCATTAGACCCTAAGATCACCGCAAAAAGCACAAAGAGGCGAAGCGTGGGGCAAAGGCGGCCACAAAGGAAGGCGTGCTTGCTGCAAGATGAAATAAACAGGCAGAGAGCAGATGGAAGCAGTGAAGGAGAGAAAATTTTGAAAGGGGAAAAATAAACCAAAAGAGAGACACGCAAAGGGCTCCCCAAATGTAGTTCAGTTAATTTATAACTGAGCAAATACAGTTAAGAAATCGAGCTACTGGGCGTGGGGGGCCGGACAGGAATCACTGGCCTCCGGGACACAGAGGGGACAGCTCAGGGGAGAGGAAGGGAGCCGCTTGCCAAGGGGAACAGCAAGGCCCCTTCTCTTCCTTCCTCCGCTCCAGAAAGGGAAGGCTTTCCTTCTGGGCAGTAGCCAGGGGCACAGGTCAGTAACCGGGGGACAGGAAGACCCACCCTGCCGAGGACAGGCCCTTGTGGCGTAGACGCCCAGAGCCTCGTCCACCTTCCCAGGGGCTTGGCCCGCTCCAGCTCTGCCCCTCGTCCGCCCATTTTTCCTCCTCCACAGCTGCTGGTGGGGGTGGGGTGACCGTGAGGCCCCTCTGCACAGGGAGGGTGGCCCTGGTCGGTCTGGGGACAGTGGCCTTCCACCTGCCCGGGGACTTGGTGCTTTGTCCTGTGCCCACACTCTGACTTCTGCAGGAAGACTGGGCTGGGATCTCCGTCCTCCAGGACAGCCCGGGGACCACCGGGCATGGTCTTCCTGCGTCTGGGCCTGCTGTGGTGACCTGGGGATCCCCGAAGGCCCACAGTGACCACCTCCTCCTTCTCAGCCCACGGCCAGATGCATCCAGGCCAGACACAGATCCTACGGCCTTCTTCCTTGGTGATGTTGTGATAGAGAAAACCATAAATTGTGTGTCTTTTGAGATTCTTTGTGGAAAGCTCCTGCCTTAGGAGGACTTAGGAACAGGTTCAACTGACCTTTGTCCTTGGGCCGCAGACTTGGTTGCAATCCAGCTACTGCAAGGGAGAGGAAGCAGCCTGAGCCTTCGCTGCTGCAGCCCTGCCTCGGCCCCGGAGACCCGGCCACACCTCGGAGCCATGGATCAGGAGGCGGAGGAGTGGGAGCAAGTGTTCCAGGAGTTAATTCAGGAGGTAAAACCATGGCACAAGTGGACGCTTGTCACAGACAAGGACCTTCTTCCCAATGTCCTCCAGCAGGGCTGGTCACAGTTCCAGCAGAGGACCTTTGCCAGGTGAGTGGGGCGGTGAGGGGCACAGCCAAAAACTGTCCACTGTGCACAGCCCGTATGTGTGACACGCTGGGGACAGGGAGGAAGGAGCCCATCGTCCAGGACGTTTGGGCTTCGTTAAAGATCGTGTCTGCTCCTATATAACAGGAGCGGTGGTGGGCACACGTGTGGGTGAATGCCAAGGTGTACAGAATTCAGGGGCAGGGCTGTGGCAGGAAAGGGAGGCACGGGGACCGTTCACTGGAGGCGGCTGCATTCCCCTGGCTGGGAGACCCCAAGTCCACCAGGGGACCCTGGAAAGGCCCCTGCATGGAGGAGACCCTGGGGAGAGGCCGGAGGAGCGGGGCACCAGGCAACTTGCAGCAACCCTTCCTGAGAAATAGAATCTTTCTCAAATAGGCTCAGAGGCCACCCAGCATTTTGCCTGTCTTTTCTCTGGTGGGAGTACAAGGGCACAGGGGGTGGAGTCCTAGGGTCCATCCTGCCCGCCCGCTGCCCTGTCTGGAAGGGTCTAACAGGAAGAGGAAACGGAGTCTCCCAGGCCAGGGGCTGGCGTCAGGAGCCCCGAGCAAAGTCGCCACCTGTTTATTTGTGAGAACCTGGGACTCCAGGCTGGTACATCATGCAGCGGAAGCGCTGTGTCCAGGCCGGGGCAGAGCACGGCAGCTCGGGACAGCCTAGGTGAGCCCCAGCACTTGGTCTCAGGGGCTTGGAGCGTTCAGGCGGCTCCCCCTCTGCGCGTCCTGACCTTCATCCTGAAGGGCAGCCAGGCTCCAGATGCGCTCTGCCAAGCCCCTCTAGCTCTCTGTTGCAGACAGTGGGGTCCCTGTCTCCAGCCAAGCAAGGTTGGGCTCAGCTGCCGTGAGAATAAGCCCAGGGCTCAACCCAACGCAGCGCCCCAGGTCATGGAGGCAGCGGAAGAGACGGCCCAAGAGGCTTAGGAAGACTCTGAACGACCGCTGCCCACTCCCTAGGCCAGCTGGTCCCAGGGCCCCAACTCAACTCCAAGTGGGAGGAGAGTGTGGGTCACTTTGTGACCATTCAAGGTCTCAGCCACTTCCATGTCCTCTCCCGGGTGCTGCTACCTTTCTCCACGTGTCCCATCAGCTCCTTGTTCAGATATCTTAGCCCAGAAAACCACGGCAGCAGGCTATCCTTGTACCTGGTTGGAGGGCAAGGCCTTCTGAACAGGGAATTCTCCAGGCTGAGCTGGAGACAGTGATCTCTGAGGTTGCTCAGGTCAGGGGCCCTGGGCCCTGCAGGGCAGTACAGGACCGATGAATCTCTATCTATCTCTCTCTATCTCTCTCTCCCTCCCTCATCTGTGGCTCTGATTCAACAGCATCCCCTTGTGGATTTCAGCACAGGATTTTGGGGAGCTGTTGCACTTAGATGCTTTGACTGGCTTCGATTTTCGTATGAAGGAAGCTGGCTTCTGGAGCCCCAGTCCTGCCACTGGCGCCCACGGGGCTGTGGGGCGCACAGAGCTTCCAGTGTACCTCGTGTCTGCAGCAAGCAGGCTGGATGCAGATGGTACCCGAGGTCCCCCAGCCCACGGGACCTGCTGCTGTCATGGCAGACACCGGCAGGTCACAGGGCCCGGCGGTGGCACGAGGGAGTGAGGAGCAAATGGCTCCGCAGTTTATTCCCCTGCCAGCCTGTGCTGCCGACTCTGAGGCCCTTGCCCACTGCCTCCCCTGCAGGTTCCGTTGCTCCTCCTGCTTCCGCAGCTGGGCCTCCGCCCACGTCCAGGTTCTCTTCCACATGCACTGGAGTGGGAAGAGGTGCAGGGGCCAGGTGAAGATGAGGGTCTTCGCCCAGAGGTGCAATAGGTGCACGCAGCCCCACTTTGAGGCTCCTGAGATCATGCTGGAGAACATCAGGAGGACCCTGACCAACCTGGTGTTCCGCATCCTGAAGAAATGCTATAAGGAGGGCTTTGAGACCATGGAGGAGCTGCCCGCCATCAAGGACACGAGCCTGGAAGGGCCGCACGACAGTCTCAACTGCGAGGCCTGTCTGCAGGGCTTCTGTGCCCAGAGTGGGGGGAGCCTGGCCCCGCAGCCATCAGCGCCCCCCACGCTGTCCACCCGCTGCGAGGACACCGGGATGTCCAGCGTCACTACCACTTATAGCCACCGCTCCTGCTCACCACCCCCCAAGGTGGACAAGCTCCTTGTGTCAACAGTGACAGCCAAGGACCTGAACCCCCCCAAAGCTGAGTCCAAGGTCAGCCACACCCCAAAGCCATCAGCTGCTCCAAGATACCCAACTGAAGAAGTCTCACCCGGATTAACAGTGACCCCCGAAGCCCCTCATCCTCTCAAGACTGACCCCAAGGTCAGCCAGGCCTCAAAGCCATCGAGTACTCTAAAAATTCCAACCAAGGAGGTGTTACCCACATTAACACTGACCCCCAAATTCCCTAACCCCCCCAAAGCTGAGTCCAAGGTCAGCCACACCCCAAAGCCATCAGCTGTTCCAAGATACCCAACCGAAGAGGTCTCACCCAGATTAACACTGACCCCCAAATGCCCTAACCCCCCCAAAGCTGACCCCAAGGTCAGCCATGCCCCAAAACCATCAGCTGCTCCAAGATACCCAACTGAAGAGGAGTCACTCGGATTAACAGTGACCCCCGAAGTCCCCGGCCTCTCCAGCAGGGAGAGGGTTCTCACCTGGCTGGCCCCTTATTCCACACACAGCAGAACAATAACGAACACAGCAGCCCGGCACACCACGGTGACAATAGATGAGATACCACCTTCATCCCGCCAGCCTGCTCGGCCCACGTGGGACAGGGACCACTCCTCTTGGAACCAAAGAGGGCATGCCATTAGCAGGGTCCCAATGTCCCATTCCTGGCATGAGCCTCAACATTGCGATTGCAGTTGCAGCCCCCGGAACTGCGGGTGCCTGTGCTGCTGCTGTATCCTTCTAATTCTAGCGGCATGGTGGTGGCTTTGAAGCTCGCGTGGAGCCTGGCAGCATGATGCTTAGTGAGGAAAACACTGAGAGGCGAAGTCCTACGCTGCAGCACAGCTGCCCGCGGATAGGAAGGGTTCCAAAACTCCAGACCGGAAATGGGGGGTGGTTCTGGAGCCAGGGAGTCAGAAAGCAGCTACCTGATCCATCTGGGCTTGTCTTGGGGCAGGCGGGGAGTGGTTTGGAAGGACACTGAGGTGATGGCTTCCCGAATATAATCCCCGCATCAAAGCCGTCAATGTGTTCGTGTTAAAATGGTCGATTCTGCTGTGATTTTCACCTCCATTAAAAAAGAAAAAGACTCCAACAGCGCTGTTCATTCTTGACAGAACTAAGCTGGAAGTGGCTGGAACTCAGAACCATCTGCCTGTCTGAAATCTTGTGAATCCCGTGGGCCACCTCATCAGCAAAGTTAAAGACCCTCTGTCCTCAGTCTGGAGACTTCAGGCCGAAGCCTGGGTTCTCACAGCTGTCTCACAGCGCAGAGCTGGCATGGGGGAAGCAGGACAAGACACCAGGGAGGAACAATAGCCTTACAGGTCCACTCAGTTTTTCTTTATTTTTTTTTTTTTTATTTTAAAGAATAAAAGAAGGATAACATAATAATAGGGGGGACTTAGCAAATTACACACAAAATGGTAGGAGATAATCAATGGTTATCATTTTACATATTATTGTCTACAAAATAGTTTCTCAGGAAAACAAATAGACAAATAATAGTGAGTTACAGACAAAAGAGGTAGGAGATTATCAAGAGTTGTTGTACTATACTTTGGTATCTTCAAAGTGGCTTCTAAAGAAAATAAATAGAGCTATACATGAGTGACCTATTGAAAAATCATTAACTATTCTCAATGGTTGTTGTAGGAAACACATAATAATAAACATACATCCATTTATGAAATAGGATAGGAACATTACAAACTTTACACAGTTATGGATAGATTAGTAGGAAAATATCAATGGCTGCTGTAATACGTGGTGGCATCTTCAGAGTGGTTTCTCAGGAAGACAGAGATATGCAAGAGGGACCTATTAAGTAGTTACAGCCTAAGGGTTGTCAAAAATAGCATATTACCTCCTCACCAGTGACTCCTTTCACTGAGGTATGATGGCTGGAAGGAAGGCCAGGATTGAAAAGAAGGACCGAGAGACTTGCACCTGTGTCTAGCAACAGGCTGTTTTCTTGTTCCTCCATAGTCATGATTACCCAGGGCTCCTCGATGGAGATGACGGTCTGGCCAGAGGGAGAAGGCAGACCATGCCCCAAGCCCTCTCATTCCTGTTGGACTAACTGGTAGCATGGGTCTGAGCTCTGGGGCCTCCACCTCAGAGGGCAGACCGATCTCCAGTGGTCTCCTTTGCATCCAGGGCATGGCCCATGGGGCCTCTTAGGGCAGTTCCTCTTGAGGTGGCCTGGCTTTTAACAGTGGTAGCAGATGAATGCAGTTGTCGAGTTCTTCTTGGAGCCCCGGGAATCAGACCTGGGATCTGTTTCTCTTAGTGGTGCAGCAAAAGCAGCTGCTTTTTCTCAGTCTCTTTGTTTTCTCTCCTTGGCCTCCTCCTCATCATGGGCCTCATCATGGCTATAGAGTACTGAGGAGGCAATTCTTACTAATATCTCAAGTGAGCTATCTGGGGTGAAAGCCATTCTTTGTAGCTTTTTCTCTCCAGCTTCCCATTGCTTTGGGACCCCACAACCAGTTAGTGTCCTCTCCCCAACTGTCAGCACAGTCAGCAGGAATCCTGCTGCAGACTTCTCCGGAGCTCCACCACAGCCTGTACTGTCAGGGAAAGAATGGCTTCCAATGAGTCTCTGCAAGTATTGTGCAAGGTCCTCCTGGTTTACAGCTTCCGAGCGGCTCTGGTGACCCCAGTCCACAGGACCTCTGACTCCGTGGGCTTGGTGTGCATTCTCATGTTCTCTGAGTCCTTGTTCAGCACCTGTTCCTCCGCTGACTCTGGACCTTTCTGGTTCCCAATTGCAGGAGCAAGAGTGGCCCGTTGTATGGCATGTATTCCCAGGGGTTGTTCAAAGTTTCAATGATTCACACACGTCCGTGGGTGGGCAACTGCAGTCGGTGCATGGTGGTCCAATTGTGTCACTGTTTCTCTGTGTCATGATAGATCCCAATTGAGCGGCGGTGGCCGTCCTAAGGGCCAGCACGCAATAGCGCTCGCTGCCGCATGGCTCCCCATGCGCTGGGGGCCCACCCTCCGGGAGCCAGCAGGCAGGAAGCTAGCTAGCCAGAAGGCTGGCGCTCCCCACCCGCAGCTCCCTGTGCGCCAGAAGCCCTCCTACCGGGAAACCCCGAGGCCAGGAGTGAGTTGTCGGTCCAAAGACCGGCGCTCCCCGCCCGAGGCTCCCCGGGCGCTAGGGGCCCACCCTCAGGGAGCCATCAGGCAGGAAGCTAGCCAGCCGGAAGACTGGCGCTCCCCCCTCAGTTTTTCTTTAAAATGTAGTATTTCTTGTAGCATGTTTACAACGTAGGCTAATGTATTTAAATGATTTGCATGAATATGCATGAATAACAAATACGCATCAATCTGGAGTGCTTGCTCAGTGTCTTTTGTTGGCTGAATTATGCAATCAAAAATGCTGAGGGGAAAATGACCAAAGAACGAGCATGGGAGTCTGTGGGCAGATGCTCATCTGAATTAGGAAACCAAAGCAGCTTTTTAAAAACATTCTGTTTGCAGCTGGCTGGGTATGATGATGGAGGCTGAGACAGGAGGATTGCAAGTTCAAATCTCACTTGGGCCACTTGGTGAGACTGTCCAAAAAGTGCAAGGGCCTCGCATATTGCTGAGTGGTAGACTCCCCCTGGGTTTGATCTTTAGTACAACACATGCTTGCATGCACACACGTGTGCAGGCACACGCTCGGAAATTCTGCTCCTACTGTGAAGCCTGGGGTCTTCCCTCCGAGCGGGTGAAGGTCTTTCCCCTAGCACTGGCCTCCGCCTGTGCAGCACCTCCTCCATGCCCGCCAGTTCCCCTGCCACCTGCCTCCCCGATGGTGCCCAAGTGGCCAGGGGACAGGCTGGCTTCCCCTCCGCTCTTCCTCCTGGGCCCAGGGAGGAGGCTGGTGGTGGGGAAGGAGCAAAAGGGACGGCGTGGATGAGGGATGAGGACGCGGCCTGCGAGGCCTGGGCTCCCTGAGCTTGTGTGGCTGTGGACAGCCGAGCTTCCTCTCTGCGTGTGCATTTGTGTGTGATCCCAGCTCGCTCCGTGACGAAAGACACGCTGCTCCCTAAATTGAAAACGTGTGTTTAGCTCACATGGAACAGTGAGTGCATGAGACTTGGTAAACAAGTTACGAAAATGCCCATGTGACGGCCTTGCCTTGTAGATGTCCCCACCACTGTCCTTTGAACACGGGGGCAGGCTCGGGACAGCTGGCCGTGGAGAGCCAGCGCAGGGCGGGGTGGCTCCCTGGCAGCGGTTGGCGACAGGCAGTGGGAGCTGGGAGCCCCTGAAGGCCGGGCTGGGCAGCTCCAGCGTCTGGAAGGACCCTGCAGGGCCTGGTGCGACCTTGTCAGGCCCCACCTTCTTCACTCCTGCCCTGCCTGCAGGCCGTGTCACTCACGCTCCTGGGCGCTGCTAGTCCTGGGCAGCAGTTTTCTGTGATGTCCCCCAAAGTCAGAGGCGTTCACCAGAGCTCCCACCCACCCCACCGAGTTTGACTGCAGCTTCCGACTTCCTAGCACTTTGCAGCTACCAGAATCCCAGCCTCCGCCCTCCTTCCCCTGCAACAGTGCCCTGGGGACGCACACCATGGTGGGATCTGCCCATTGTCTGAGGGATAAACCACTGTGCATCTTAGGGTTCTTCTCTGAAATCTCCTTCTCGCCATGCACCCTCAAATTCAAACTTATGTCTCCTCCATCCAAAAAAAAAAAGATCCCTTTCTGCTTTGCTGTAGGGCCTGGGCTGCAATTCGGAAATAATCCGCATATGAAACCTTATCCGATGGGTGTCCCCTCCCCAGGGCGTGCTCCCCGGGCCTGGCCACACTGGGTGACCCCCAATGCTTCCTAACATTGTTCTTGCTCCTGCCCGGCTCTTAATGCCTACTTTGGGTGGTAGGGTTGGTCCAACCCCAGCTGTGCCAAGTGAGGAAGACTTTGGGGGTTGTCACTAACATCTCAGTAGCATTTCCATGCTGCTACGCGTGCTTTCAAGGCCACTTCCCTCCATAGCAACATCTAAGGTCAAGGTGGAGCCGAGTAACAAGGGCCACGCTGCTTCGAGGAGGAGAGGGTCTGCCGCGTGTGTAATTTTAAGTTTTCCAGCAGCCACGTTTTAAAATATAAAAAGAAAATCAGGTGGTACGAATTTTTATATCCCATTTTATTAACCCCTAAGTATCAAAAAGTCATCATCTTAGTATGCAATCAAGTCCAAAATTCTTAATGACATTTTACTTCTTCATTTATGTGTTCATTTATTGCAGTTCAGACAGGCCTTGAACTCACTATGTAGCCCAGGACATCCTTGAAATCCCAGCAATCCTCCTATCTCAACCTCCCGAGTGCTGGGATTACAGGCATGTGTCACCACATCCAACTAATGAGGTATTTTAAAGATATTCTTTTTATACTAAGTCGTTGAAATCAAGTGTGCATTTTACACTTAGCCACAAATTTTCAGACATTATATTTTTATTAAAAATACCTCCTCTGTGTTTAGATTTCAACACTTTGCAATTAGAAAATTGGATTTCACTTGCCCAAGTTGTTCTAACACATAAAGTTGGTCTATAAGAGTGGAATAGAGAATCCATTTTGAAATCTAAATTTAAAGTAGTGTAAGTTAAATATCGGTTCCACAGTGAATCTAGCAGCAGAGATCTGGGAGTTGTGGACAAAAGGACACTTGGTATTTGTGTGTTCCCAGAACACCCTGGGCCTCTTGCTTGTATCTGACTGCCTGGTGACACTTCACCCACAACCTGTGGACACTGGCACATGTCCCAGAGGTAGTCAGTTAGCTTTTGTTAGTTCCTCATGTGAATCTTCACACGGACAGCTGCAGTAAGTCTCAAGTATTTCTACAAGGGGGTGATTACTAATTAGCATGAACAGCATTAGAAATGTCCAGTACATAGCTGGCTCCAAGGCAGGTCGGCATGGCAGAGGAGCCTGGTGGAGGAGAACTGCTCATGAAGCAGACAGGGAAGGGAGGGGCCAGGAAGCCAGAGATAATATTCCAGGCCACGCCCCCAATGATTCACCTCCTCCAACCTGGCCTCATCTAGGCCAGTCAGTAATAAGCTCCCAAAACCCAATCACCTTCCAAGAGCCTGG